GTAAAATTTTATAATTATTTGTTTGATTTAATTTTTTATAAATAGAAATTGTTTTTTAGGGGTTTGGGATTTGTCCATGTTTGGGCGGCAAGTATAATTGTGACTATTACAATGATTTTAGGTATTGATGAAATATCTAAATAAGGAATCTAAAATCAGTGAATATTTACGTGGTACAATATATCTACATAGTCGACTTTCATAGACTAGCCAGAGCACCTTATTGTAAAATGCCTTACATATGAAAATTTCCAGCCCAATTTTTCAACAGACGGAAAACTTTTCCGTTTTTTATAATAATTTACTCCGCTGTGTTTATAAACCTAAATTCCGATTTAAAAAAACCATTGACAGAAAAAAAGCACATTACATCACCCGGAAATTTTGTGCCCTGTTGTAGCGTAATAGTCTAAACAAGTGTGACGCTAGGATACGTAACAAGGCAACGTGTCATTTATTGTAATTAGAAAATGAACACAAAAGTAGTTGCTCATAATAAAAGTACAGAATTTTGTTCCTCTTATGTAATAAATCACATATTCGATGTATTATAATAAATCGTTACACTTAAGGCCACAGTTAATTTTTCGGTTTGCATAACCCGTCGACCCAATTTTTCAAAAAAAATTTTTTTTTAAGTTCCAATTACCCCAATTATTCCATTTTTACTATTTAATTTTTCCCCGTAAATTTATCCGATATCACCCGATAGTGAACTTAAATTTCCGACAGGTCTGTTAAAAAAAGTAACTAAATTTCTGATTCCATGTTATGCAGAACGAAAAATTAACTTGCGTGGCCTTAAATATGAGCATAAATCTATTAATTTATAGTAAAATTTTTTTTTAAAAAAAAATAAAAAATTCGACCCGCCGACTGGAATTTCGGAACTTCAGGTTATGCAAAACGAAAAATTAATTTTGTGTGGTCTAATATCTTTTATTGAAGATTCGGTTATAAATTCGACAATGAAAGGCAGCCGAGATATTATTGACAGTTGATCGCCTTAAAGATAACACAACACCATTACAAATTATAAACATATATTTGTGAAACGTTTTATGTTTTTCTCGATTATGTACATGCTCATTGACATGTATGGTTATCCTTATTAGGATAATAGATACGTACAAAAACATATATAATCAATATTCAATATTCAATATTTTGGCTCAGTGTTTTTCTCATGGCTTCGAAAAATCTGCACATTTATCTTCTAACAATAATCATTATTTTATCCTTTAACTTGGTCAATGCCCAAAGTGAGGATAGTGATTCTCAAAATGATTTGGCTTTAAATGATAACAAAATTGAGGCAATTTTTGACTTGATGGGTATCTTATTAATTTTACTTAGCATAGATGCCGTACATGCTTCTAATTCAAGGACTGCAACGTTAACTTATTTCTCATTGCGAATGCTTAGTTATTTCTTTCAATCACTTATATTAGCTTTATCTATATTTTTCACTTACAGTATTTATAAAAGTACTGGAGATTTCTTTTATGTTCAATATCTTATTACTTCATTAGCGTTCGCTACTGCAAATTTATTGTTGGATCTCATTAATAGGCATGAGCCTGATATTTTATCTTCTAGTGAATTTGTTGTCCATATAACTTTTTTTATTATAGCTGTTATACGCGGATATATCAGCACTTCGAAATATTTATTTATTCTTTTACCTTCATTATTTGGTATATTTTTTCCAATTTTTGCTTATATAGTGGTAATTTTTCAAGGTAATATAATTTTGCTTTCATGTTTATTAATTTTATGAATACGTATTAAATATTCTTAAAAAATTTATCTTATCATTTTAAAGGAAAATATAAAGGTAAAAAAAATTTTTATATTTATTTTGTGGGCCCTTTAATTATAATATTGCTAACCCAATCTATTTATTCATCATTATATAGATGGTAAATTTTTTATTTTTTGTTTTTGTAAAAGATTTAAATGAATAACTTTATTATTCTTAACCAAATTTTATTTACTTATAATATATGTATATTGTTTAAATTTTAACATCTAATAAAGAGGAAATTGCTATTCGTACTCGTACTCTATCGGCTGTTAGTATAGACCAAAAAGAAGGTAATAAAATCGTCTATTTATTTTTTTGTATAATTACTAAAATATTTAACTTGTCAATAGAAACTATTACGTGCGCTGGGAAGATAGTTTCAGTCATCTTAGCCTTTATATTTGGTGAATTAATGAATCATGGTATATTAGAAGGTAATGATATAATTTATTATTATATATATATGTATAATCTAATAAAATAAAATGATATCAATATCTTAAAATATTTATTTTTGCTGAATAGATGAATATAATTTTGCAGTCATGACCGCTGTAAAAGAGAAATTGAAATTGGCCTCAATATGTTCACAATTTATTTTTTGTTTAATTGTTCGGCCTTCTGTCCTATGGATTAAATCTTATCTTACAGCACTAGTTATATATGCTTCGATAGATGTTAAAATCAGAGAACTCAGAGCAGAAAAGAGAAGGAATAAGCATAAAGTTCATGAACCTCCTGTGGATGATGAGAAGCATACCGAGGCAGTAACAAATGTAGTTTAAATCTTGTGTGCTGTTTTCTATTTATTGATTTCAACCAGTAACCAAAAAAAAAGTCTCGAAAACAAACCAGTATAATACTGGTGAAAAAAAAGATAAAAAATGTACATTAATAATTATAATATCTTTTTTATTAGTCATGTATACTGAATCATGTATCTATAATTGTATTCAATATGTCATATATTTCATGTTATATGTTTAATAATGTTTAATAATCACGTCAATTATATTATTTCATATCCCTTAATTTATAACAGCAATAATAAAAAAGTTATTTCATGATTCTTCTTTTTTTAATTATTAATAATTTAAAGACAATTGATAATACTGTATTTTAAAATTTCTTCATCGTTTCACCGACAATCATTTTTCCGACGTGACAACCATTTAAATTCATTTACCGATATCAGGGACGATAATTTTATGCAAATCGCGTAAAACCGCATAAATTGCATAATATAGCCGACAACGCATAACAGGTTATATTTGCCGCATAATGTCGCATAAAATATGGCACTATTAATTAATTATCGCATAACTGGCTCTAAGTGCTGTTCTAAAAGGCTTCGAATAGAAAATCTATCAACACAAGTTACAAGCAAGGTCGAGAAAAAATTGAAGTTCCCGAACGATGCTGCTCACTTTACCGGCAATCATTTTACCGAAAGTTCATTTAGCTGACATCACATAGAGTTAGTGTTAGCGTTTTATTAGTTGCAACATATTTTCAGTAAATTGTCACTTGGCGTGGTGTCGGCTAAGTGAGCTGTCGGTGAAATTATCGGTAAAGTAAGGCATATCCAGTTTCGAATTATTACGAAGGACGGTTTTCATAGTTATAAAACTGTGCATTTTATGCGCAAGACATAGCATAATTATAAATTTTGGGAGCAAAATACTAACACAATTAAGAAAAAACATATGCGCATAAAAGTGCATAATTTACTTTTGTTGCATGTATAATCGATGGTTTATTGCAGCATAAAATCATCGTCCCTGGCCAGGACATTTTCCGTTCATGTGATTTATCGACATCAGTTAACCAATTAAAAATTGGAATCAGGTGTAACTTAAGAAAATCAAAAGTGTAACAAAAAATTTTCCTCGCAAATTTTACTATACTAAACCTTTCTCTAACCCTAACCCGAACCTAAACCCTAATATAAAATACCGTATTCCTCCGAAAATAAGCACCCCTCGGAGCAATTTTTATAGCCAAAATTCTCATGATCTAGTGAATGGATCTGCATAATTTTGGTACCATTCGAATCGACTTGTCAAACTGATTCGAATGGTACCAAAATTACACAGATCCAATCACTAGATCACGAGAAATTTGGCTATAAAAATTGTGCTTATTTTCGGAGGAATACGGTAATTTTTGGTTGACTACTATAGACTTCGGAAGATCACGTGAATGGAAAATCGACCTACTGTTAATTTCACGGAAATTGTGATTAAGCAAAATCGTATAATTTACACCATTTATATTATATCAATGCCACATGCTAGTTGTAAATCGCATTAAATATTGCTTTATGTTATAATTATAATTGAAAAATAAATACTTAGTAAAAAGAAAAAATAAAAAATAAAAAAATAAAAATAAAAAATAAAAATAAAAAAATAAATAAAAAAGAAAAAAATAAAAATAAAAAATAAAAATAAAAAAAATAAATAAAAATAAAAAAAATAAAAATAAAAAAAATAAAAATAAAAAAATAAAAATAAAAAAAAATAATATTATTTTATAAGAGGTGTAGTGACTTAGTGTAGTAGTCTAGTCGTCACCCTCTCCAAGTGGCAGATCTAGAGTTCGAATTCCATGGACGACGATATTTGAAAATAGGCTTGTGTTCTAGTTAATAGCTATGTATATCAGTTAGATTTAATCTGTAACTTTGGTTACACCATCTAGTAATAGGAGTAATAGTACAATAAATCCAAGGAACTGGCATAACCGAAAACCCATTTGGGAAGTTCTGAGTTAGAAGTAATAATGATCTTTGATGGTATTACAAGAGGGCTGAATTCGAACCAGGGCCCAAGATCGAAGAACCAAATGACTAGGTTTTAATGGTAGAAGATACACCAGCTGAACCGCCAGGTTCTGTCATACCGGAGAAAAAGGACATACGCTCTGAAAGTATGTACTAAGGGGAGGGCGTCTTTTAGGTATCTAAAGCCTGGGCAGACCGACCCTTTCGGGTTGCTAGCTGGAAGTAAGGGAGAGACCGATAAGGAATCCGGGTAAGAAGATGGTCCAAATGTGGGTACCAGGGTTGTTGGGAACCTAATAAGAGCAGAAGTAGGTAATCACAGAGGTTTAATGGTTAGCCCTGACCCCAAGTACATGGGTAAAGCCATGGCATAGATTACCGAAGTCTAGATAAACATATGTGTGAGATATGTGATATCTAGCAAAATGAAAATATTCGCTATCCAATGATCCAGAGTCACCTGGAGCCAGGGTAAGCAAACCTCATAGGATGTGAGGACCAATGGTAAGGTTAATATAACTATACTGGGCTGTAAGGTTTGATATATCTCACTCAAGTTGGTTATAGAAATTCAGAAACTAAAATACCGCAGAAGAGGAACCTGGGACATCTGTGGTAGTGAATGACTAATTAGGAAAGTTATGGCTTGAGATACAGATCGGGGTTCAGCAGTGCCTTAAAAGGTAGCTTGAGATATGAACTTGGTGATAACAGCATAACAGGTACTAGTTAAGAAATTTGATACCAATGATGTACTGAAAATCTTGTAAAAATAATGTATATCCCACAAAATGAGTAATAAAAGAGGCAGCATTGTTAAAAAAAATAAAAAAATAAAAAAAAATAATATTTTATATAATTTTTAGATTTATACTATATCTTATTTATTTGGCTTAATATAAAATTTCAAAAAGTGTTCATAATGCCATGCTACTCACTATACAAATGAAATTTTTATTTTATAATTCTTAACTAATTCTATAAACTTAGAAGCTTCAATATTATAATTATTTAACCAATCAATAATTTCTTGCTTTTTGAAATCAGATATTGGTATAACTTCTACATGTCTTTTATAATAATGTGCCTCATCTAGTGCTCTTCAATAAGCCGGCTTGATGAGTCTTGCTAAAAATTACCATTGGCTCATTAAGGCTTATTTAGTTTTTATACTATATAATATATAAAAATATCACTTATTTGTATAGTTTATAATATAAATTATACAAATAAATAATATTTTTATATATTATATAGTATAAAAACTAAATAAGCTTTAATGAGCCAATGGCAATTTTTAGCAAAATTAATTGAGCCAGCTCATTGGAAAGCACTAGCCTCATCTATATAAATAATTGCTAGACTATATTTATTATTAACTGTTTTACATAACTTTGTAAAAAGGTTTTCAAAAATTTTTGAATTAAAATTCCTATAATAGTCAAATTGATTAGCAACTATGTTTGTGTTTTTAATAATATCGGGAATATTATTCCATGCCTTAGCATTATTTCATTTGTATCTTCTACTTTTAGATAGTTTAATTGTAGAATCCCAAATATGAACAGAATTTGAAACAACTTTACCTTCTACTTTATTTTTACTACTATTTTGAAATACTATACTAAAAATTAAATAAAGGATTATATCCTTGTACTGAAACAATACCATGATGTGGAAGCTATATATTCAGTGAGTTGTGATATAAATAACAATAAAATTCGTCTATAAAAATCTCTAGAAGATGTTGTATATCATTTTTTCTCTCTAAATTTTCAAACCAATGGTGAATATACTTATAGTGGAATGCTATATTATTTGGTGATTCATGAAGTATATTCTTTCTTTTGCCTTGGCCATAATAGTGGCCCAAATGATGTAATACTTGAAAAAGTTGTCATTTTTAAAGATCATAACTATTTTTAAAAGATGTTCTCATAAAACAGATATAGATAACTGTCTATTAGTACTGTTAGATTCTAAAATTTTAGTGTTTAAAAGTAATGCAATATCTTGGTTGTATTTTAGAATAATTGATAATTTTATTGAATAAAAATAAACTATCATTATGTTAATTTTAATTAAATCAAACTATTCCAATAGTATTTTTAGTAATACTTAGAACTAGGGCAACTCACTTGTATAACGTTAACTTCTGATAATCCTTATTTATCCCTTAAATTGTAACACAGGCAAATTTGCCTGCGAAGATTTTTACTAATTTTTTTAATATTTAAATTTTT